GAATCTTTTCCTGTTTTCTAATCACACCAAAGTTTCCCTTAGTACCTCTGGAGCTGCTTCCTGGGATGACTTTGAGATTTGCTCCCTGGAGCATCTGTGCTCCCAGAACAAAAAGTTTGCACAGCACATGCAATTAATGTTGTTGCTGTGTCTTTTCTTCTTGAAATGGAACACACAGGGCCAGCAAATCACCTGGTCTCTATTGCTGTCTCTCCCGTTAGGCCTTTTCAATATAATTTGAAACTGAGGTGAGTATATTCCACTTCATGTGTTGGTCACTGGTGGTTAACACTGAAGATCTCTGCAGCTGCTTCAACAAAGTATGTCCAAGCATGACACCCCCCCATCTCTCCCTCCTGTCATCTGGTGTGCTGTTTTCCCTGCCAGCCTGGGCCTCCAGAACTCTGCCTTGATGAGTCAGCCATGCTAGCATGCTGCAACACAGAACAAGGGTCCGGGCCACACCCCCAAACCTGCAGATCTAGACTGAAATGACCTCAAGAGGATACCTGTCTTGAGCACTCCGATACCCAGCTCCTAATCAGATCTAAACCCCAAATAAATCAATTTTAATCTGTATAATGCTGTTTAATGCTTATTAAATGAGTTATCCACAGTAGAACAACTCTGAAAGGAGAGATTGAGAGAAACCCAGACTGAAATAGCACACTCAGGGGCTGGGGTGTTTTTTGGAAATGCAGGTAACCCAAGTGCATAATTTGTCGGGTTCAGTCTCAGAGACCCCCTTTGGGATGGTCAGCTGATGTGCTGAAATTACCTGTGAGCCTGTTTTCCTTGCTATCCTCGGCCTCCAGAACCCTGCCTTGTTGAAACAGACACACCGGTCTGCTACACCACAGACCCTGGGTCTGGGTCACACCCCCAAAGCTACAGATCTAGATTGAAAAAAACCTCAGTAGGATACCTGTCTTGAACACGCCGATACCCAGCTCCCAATGGGATCTAAACCACAAATAAATCCATTTTACTCTGTATAAAGCTTATACAGGGTAAAATGATACATGTTTGCCCTCTCTATCACTTCAAGAAAGATATGCACAGCTGTTTGCCCCCCAGGTAAAAATTACTCACACTGAGATTATAAATAAACAAAAGTGATTTTATTAAGTATAAAAAGTAGGATTCAAGTGATTTTAAGTCGTAACAGATAGAACAAAGTAAATCTCAAAGTAAAATGTGCAGGGCTAAGCTTAATACACTCAGAAATCAGTTACAAATGTTAACTTCTCACCCCAGTTGTTATTTCAGGTAAAATCCTTCTCAGACCGGATGCCTTTTCTAACCTGGGTCCAGCCTGTTCTCACCCACCCCTGTGGTTACAGTTGTTATGTTTCCAGGTGCTTGCAGCTATCACTGTGAGGATACCTTAAGCCAGTTGAAGGCACTCATTGTTTGCTTCCCCACTTTATATAGAACTTCCCCAAGGTGGGAAAACTTTGTTTGGAATCCCACCCCGCTCAGGAAAAGTACCAGCTTCAAGATGGAGTTCAGTATCTGGTGACATCGACACATGTCACTGTAAGACTCCAATCTCCATTCTTCCTTGTTCCTCACACATGTACAGAAAAAGGCATACAGGTAAACAAAGCCATTCACAGTTCATTGATTCTGAAGCATCTTTAATGACTTCCACTTAATATGTCTAAAACAGTAATACAAGTTTTTATCTTATTCTCCTAATTCCAGACATAAAAATAATCCATGTAAACAAATAGAATGAACACACTTACTAGATTATTACATCTATAATGATATGTTACAAGGGACACTCATCATAAAGCATATTCCAGTGATGTCATATTCATATGCATATTTTCATAAAGCATATGGAGTGTAATGTCACACAGAGCTTTTCCAAACCCTTGACAGAAGGGGGAATTGAACCTGGATCTCCCACCTCACAGGTGAACACCCCAACTCTTGTGCTAAAAATTCCAAAGGGAAGGCCCACCACTGCCTCCTACAGTGGCTGCATTCTGACTGGCATCTAAATCCCCCCCTCACCCCACCCCCGACACACAAACATTGTTTTGGGAAAAAGCTATTCAGCGTATTTGTAACAAATTTGTGAAGAGTTTCAGGTGAATCAGAATGGCATTATTTTTGACAATAAATTATTAGTCCAGAAGAAATTCACTCATTTCTGGACACCTTTGTGTCCCAAACCTGTGAAATTACTAAAAAAGAGATTTGTGTCTCAATGTTGGGAAATTACTTAAAGAGACTTTTGGAGAGGTGACCAACAAATAAAGTGGAATAAAGTCACCTCAGTTTTGTATAATGCTAAAATGACCTCACAGGAGAGACAGCGATCCAGGCCAGGTGATTCTCTGCCGGTCTGTGTTCCATTTCCACAAGGAAATACACGGCAACAACATTAATTCCATTTGCTGTGCACACCTGTTGTCCTGGGAGCAAAGATGCTCCGGGGATCAAATCTCAATGTCATCAAAGCCAAATTTAACCTCTTCTGGCCAAGGAAGCAGCTCCAGAGGTATTAAGGGTAATGTTGGTGTGGTTAGCAAACAGGAAAAGATTTGACTCTATGACTGATTTTAGGGTTCTGAGCTGGTACTGCTTCCATCCCTCCTAACATATAGTAAGTGAAGGGAGAAAAAAAGAAGAGGTACCACCAAGTCATGGGCAAACAAGTCAGTTTCAGAGCATTTCAGCCTTTAGTTGAAATGGCATTCATGGGTGGGGAAGGAAGGAATGATGCTGAGAGTAAAACTTTATGCACATATTTACCATCAAAAGAAGGAAAGAGCTTTACAAGGGAGGTAGAAGAATGATGGAATAGGAGAGAAAAATCACTCTAATGGGAAGGGGGACCCCCCCCCCTTCGAGTCAGGGAATGTCTATACTAAAGCCATTACATTGACTCAGCATTGGTGTGCATCAGCGCCATGGTGTAGATGCTTTCCACATTGAGGGAAGGGTTTTTCCTTCAATGTAGTTAATCCACGTCCCCTAGAGGCAATAGGTAGGTCAATGGAAGAATGACACTTAGGGTCAGCACAAACTTACTGCCTTGCACAGGGTGTGAAAAATTTCCCCGCCCTGTGCGACAGAGCTCTGTTGATCTATTTTTTAAGCCTGAACCAGGTCTCAGAATAGATGTTGTCATAAATATAAGGGGAAGGGTAAACACCTTTAAAATCCCTCCTGACCGGAGGAAAAACCCTTTCACGTGTAAAGGGTTAAGAAGCTAGGATAACCTCTCTGGCACCTGACCAAAATGACCAATAAGGAAACAAGATACTTTCAAAAGCTGGGGGGAGGGAGATACAAAGCCTCTCTCTCTGTAAGTGTGATGCTTTTGCCAGGGACAGAACAGGAATGGAGTCTTAGAACTTAGTAAGTAATCTAACTAGATATGCATTAGATTCTGATTTCTTTAAATGGCTGAGAAAATAAGCTGTGCTGAATGGAATGGATATTCCTGTTTTGTGTCTTTTTGTAACTTAAAGTTTTTTCTGGAGGGATTCTCTATGTTTTGAATCTAATTACCCTGTAAGTTATTTACCATCCTGATTTTACAGAGGTGATTCTTTTCTACTTTTTCTTCTATTAAAATTCTTCTTTTAATAAACTGAGTGTTTTTTTCATTGTTCTTAAGATACAAGAGTTTGGGTCTCTGGTCACCTATGAAAATTGGTGAGGATTTTTATCAAACCTTCCCCAGAAAGGGGGAGGGGGTAACGTTTGGAAGAATTTTGGGGAGGAAAGACGTTTCCAAACGGACTCTTTCCTAATAATAATACCGGTTAAAAATTTGGTGGTGGCTGCAAAAGTCCAAGGGCAAAAGGTAAAATAGTTTTAACTTGGGAAAGTTTTAACCTAAGCTGGTAAAAATAGCTTAGGAGGTTTTCATGCAGGTCCCCACATCTGTACCCTAGAGTTCAGAGTGGGGAAGGAACCTTCACAGATGTCGATAGAAAAGACCAGTTAGGAAAACTAGTCAGATCTCCCTGCCAGGGCAGCAGAATCCCCTTCAGTTCTTTTTGTTCAGGCAAGTTAGAAATATTGCAGCTGTCCCAGCTTCCCAGTAGAGATTATTCTGCATTCTGATCGAGCTCAGTGTCAGGCTGTGTGTGTGTGTTTTGTGTGCAGTTGGCACTGTGTGTGTTGTTTGTAGTGGGCACCCTGTGTGAGTTGTAGTGGGCATTCTGTGTGTGTGTACTGTTCCTTCTGTGTGTGTGCATGTGGTGCAGGGTACAGTGGAGCTGAATATCAATTGAATATCAACTGTTGGCAGGTGTGTGTCCCTTGCGCTGCCCAGTGCTCTGCCTGGCATCTGTCCTCCTCCAAGTGCAGGGCTTCTTGTGCGATCATCTATTTCACTCCCCTGCACACAGCAAAACTGAGTATTATCTAGACCATCCCTGACAGGTGTTTCTCTAACCTGCTCATAAAAATCTCCAATGGTGGAGATTCGACAAACTTCCGAGGCAAGTTATTCCAGTGCACAGCCACCCTCACTGTTGGGATGTTTTTCCTAATGTCCAACCTAAACCACCCTTCCTGCAATTGAAGTACATGGGTTCTTGTGCTATCTTCCCCTGCCCTCCTCCCCCCCCACACGCACGGACACACACACACACACATACTTTTTGCAATTTTTTTCCTAATTTTATTCCTAAAACTCTGTGTAACTCGTTGGGTCACAGAAATCCCTTTGGAACTGCCAGACAATGTCCTGAGATCTGAAGTTCAACATTTCATCCTCAAGGTGGATGCCCCTGGCCACCAGCTTATAAAATCATTCTTTCTCTCTGGCCTTGTGATGCTTCCCATGTTATGTCCACTGATCTCAGTTTGGGCCTGCAGACCTTGTAGGAATAGAAAAAATAATAATAACAACAATACAATAAACAACAATACTCCCACAGGCTCTACGAAATTACTTTTAATGGGCTGGGAATTGAATTCACCTATTTCCATTTCCCACCACTAAACCAATACACAATTAAAAAGATTCAAGAATTGGTTAGGAGTTTATTCATTGCTTTCCTCAGGGCATCCTTCACCTCCATGTTCCTCAGGCTGTAGATGAGCGGGTTCAACATGGGGATCAATAGCGTGTAAAACACTGAGGTCACTTTGTCTGGGTCCATGGAATAGATGGAGGTGGGACGTAAATACTTGAAGAAGAGGGTGCCAAAATACAGGACCACAGAGGTCAAGTGGAAAGTGCAGGTGGAGAAGGCTTTGTGGCGGCCCTCGGGAGAGTGGATCTGTAGGATGGCGGAGATGCTATTTACATAGGAGAGGAGGACACTCACAAAGCTGATCACTTGAGTGGAGCTCATGGAAGCAAAGATCACAATCTCTTTGATGTGGGTGTCAGAACAGGAGAGCACCAACAGTGGGAGGACGTCACAGAAGAAATGATTGATGATGATGGAGCTGCAGAATGACCGCCGAAATGTAAAACACGTGTGTATCACTGAATCCACCACCCCCACAGCGTACACAGCAGCCACCAGCTGTTTGCAAAGATGTCTGGACACGGTGACCGTATAGAGCAGAGGGTTACAGATGGCCACATAATGGTCATATGCCATCACAGCTAGCAAGAGGCACTCAATATCTGAAAAAATGATAGAGAGATACATTTGCACAGTGCAGGCTGTGTAAGAAATACTTTTCCTCTCGGCTAAGAAATTCAGCAGCATCTGAGGGGAAATTATCAAGGAAAGGCAGAGGTCACAGAAAGACAAATTCCTGAGGAAAAAGTACATGGGGGTGTGGAGTCGGGGATCAATTGTGATTAACAAGATCATCGCCCCAATCCCCAGCAGGTTGATACCATAAATCAGTAGGAATACTACAAAGAGGGGGACCTGCAGCTCCGGACGAGCTGTCAGTCTTGACAGAATGAACTCAGTCACATCCGAATGATTTCCCATGTCCTCTGAACACAGATCAGGCATCTACAGAGATGTGAGCAGGTCGATTGTGAGGAAAATCTGTCCCTTCTCTGTAAAGAGGTAAGAGAGGATAAATGGAGATCAGTTTCTCAGTGGACATCAGTACCCACTCAGGGAAGGGCTTAGTCCACAGAGCCAGGTGTTCACAGCTGGTCATTCCAGATGTTCGATAAAATGCACACTCTGTGCAAACACAATGACACACAGGTTAATCATGTCCCACACACAACTATTACTGTTCACGAATCCGAAAAGAAAACAGCAACTTGTGACTCTGCTGGGAGAGAATCAGTCTGAAGGGATTATTCCTTAGTGAAAGAAGGAGTGAGAGTAAAGGAGTGTCAATCTTTCCACACTCTTTGGGCAAGGTGAGCTCTGTGGCTTGGCGTGTCCGTTTGGGGTAAAGTTGCTTACCATGCTTTGTAAGCTTTTTGGCATTTACTTTATCCTGTATGAAAACCCAGAGATATCATGGGAAGCCCTGGCTTCAGTGACTAGGTAATTGCCTACTTTTTTCTAACCAAGGAGGTCGCTCCTTTAGCTGAAGTGGCAGGAGTTGGGGCTGAGGCTTTCAGTGCTGTAGGTCTGGAATTCAATACCTGCTGATCCCCAAGGTGCTTGCGTGCGTGCGTGTCTGTAATTCAGGACAATAGCACGTACCTGCTGAGAAGATAGAGATAGCTGTGGTGGTGTTTAATCATTGACAGAAATTGCCAGTTTGGACCATTCGGGAAGCTTTATACTAAGACGTGTGATCTATGGGACATGATTCCTGAAGCAACTGGGAATAGCTGAGCTCAGAGAGCCATAACACGTAATTAATTAATTCAGTTAACCAAAGTCATCCTTGGTGTAATTGTTGCCCTGGGGACTAATTTGACTGACTCTTTCTTACTGGTTTATTAAATGATGCAATTTATGCCAGATTTACAGAGTATGAGGTTAGATGTGTATTTCTTCCTGCTGTTTTCACTTCAGGCTGGGTATTGTGTATACCTGAGCCACAAAGGGTTTTTTTGTTTGTTTGTTTGTTTGTTTGTTTGTTTGTTTGTTTGTTTGTTTTGTGAAGACCAAAATCTTCTCAGTAAAAACTTAATAATTTGACTCAGAAATACCATCAGGGTACCTCAGATACTACACACCAACAATCCATGGGCCAGGCTCCCAGGCTGGACTACATCCACCATGATGCATGATGGACTCTCCTCTTGCTGAACTGACCTGGAACATCACCAGAGTCCCACAGCCATGGTTAGGGAGGATGGGTATTTGGTATTTTGATGGAAAGCTTATAATTTCCGGGGAAAAGATAACTTCTTGGAAAAAATAGTTAAACCGAAAATCCAATTTCCTATCAAAAAAACTTCTCAAGAAAAATTTTCAACCAGCCTTAGCAACAAATTTGGAATCAAAGGACCAGAAAGTTAGATCAGGTGAAACGTAGTAACTGTTTGCAGGTGTAGCTGATATCTTCTCTGTCATTCCTGGTTTGAGAGTTATCTCATTGTCCTGGCCCCAGTTGGTGGAATGTAAAACCTTTAAGACATGTAAGAGTACTGCAGATTATCTAGCTATTTATAGCACTCCAATCACCATGCTATCCTATGTCCTTCCCTTGCTAGGTTACTCCTCAAAGTAGGAAAGACAGGTTCACTCATTTTGCTTGATGCCGGCCACATGATGACCAGAGGAGCTCAGGGGGAGGCCACAGCATGCTATGGACTTGTGCAGTTCACAAAACTGTCCATCTTGCACGCATATGATCTGCACACAGAGCTCAGCTATAAGATGCTAAATAAATCTATGAGTCAACTAAAATTAGTCATGCTCTCCTCACAAATATTGATAATATTTTTATATTATGGATGTGAAGTTATAAGATTACACTGTATTGTGTTATAAATACATGTTCAAAACTGAGGATGGCAAACTGCTCTGTCTCAAACAAAGAAATGTGTGTTCTACTTAATTATGTATCTAAATAGGTGAGGAAAAAGCATCAGGGAACATCCTTCCACAAAGACACTTTGTCTTACGGTAAACAGGTGGAAATATTTCTCAAAGGGGGAATAGGACTCTGAAAAGAAGGTGCAGACATCCCAAGGCACCGCTCTCTCTCTCTCCCCCTCTCTCTGCCCATTGATTCTGCATCTGAAGGGAGAAAGGAAGCAGCCATTGGACTGGGGGATGGGTCCTGACCGAAGATGTTTGGTCAGTGAGACTGCTGAGAGCATGTGGTGAGGAAACTTTTGCTTTGAATTTCACATCATTTGTTAACTTAGGAAGAAGTTGCATTCTAGCTTTATTTTTCTTGAAACCATCTCTGAATTCTATGCCTCCTTATTTGTAGTCAATAAACTTTGTTTTTTATTGTTTTATCTAATCCAGTGTGTTTAAATAGAAATATATGAGAAGCTAAGTTGCAGGAATGTTAGTGCTATCTCTCTATCAGTGTTATAAAGGGCAAACAGTTTATGAGTTTACCCTGTATAAGCTTTGTACAGAGTAAAACTGATTTATTTGGGGTTTGGACCCCATTGGGAGCTGGCTATCTGAGTGCTGGAGACAGGAGTACTTCTTAAGCTGTTTTCAGTGAAGCCTGCAGCTTGTGGGGGAAGTGGTTGAGACTTGGATCTGGGTTTGCAGCAGGCAAGCGTGTCTAGCTCAGACATGGTAAGGTACTGAAGTCCCAAGCTGGCTGGGAAAACAGGCTCAGGGGGAGACTCAGCAAATCGGGTGGCAGTCCCAAAGGGGTTTCTGTGACCCAACACGTTACAGTGGTGTAGCTGAGCAGGATCTGTGCACAGCTGATAGCTTTGAGACTCTGGTAGTGATTTTAAGTGAATTTTGGCTGTTGTGGGTGGAGAATAGACAAAGTGATTACTGTTTTGTTAGTTTCTGATTGCTTATTTCAGGTAAGGGAAATAAGGACAGAAAAATAAGCAAAATAAGTTAGAGTGAAGATCAAAAGAAGCTAGAACTGCGGAACCCTGACCGGGAAAACAGAGAAGTCTGCTGCTTGCCAGGGGCTAAGATTCACTATGTGATGGAGAGACTGCCAAAACTCATCAAGCCCTCGGACCGCTGCCTCTTCCTGCTTTTCCACGTGGGCACCAATGATACTGCCAAGAATGACCTTGAGCGGATCACTGCAGACTACGTGGCTCTGGGAAGGAGGAAAAAGGAGTATGAGGCACAAGTGTTGTTCTCGTCCATCCTCCCCATGGTAGGAAAAGGCCGGGGTAGGGATCATCAAATTGTGGAAGTCAATGAATGGCTACGCAGCTGGTGTCGGAGAGAAGGCTTTGGATTCTTCGACCATGGGATGGTGTTCCAAGAAGGAGGATTGCTAGGCAGAGACCGGCTCCACTTAACGAAGACAGGGAAGAGCATCTTCGCGAGCAGGCTGGCTAACCTAGTGAGGAGGGCTTTAAACTAGGTTCACCGGGGGAAGGAGACCAAAGCCCTGAGGTAGGTGGGGAAGCAGGATACCAGGAGGAAGCACAAGCAGGAGTGTGTGAGAGGGGAGGGCCTCTGCCTCATACTGAGAATGAGGGGTGATCAGCGGGTTATCTCAAGTGCCTATATACAAATGCACAAAGCCTGGGAAACAAGCAGGGAGAAATGGAGGTCCTGGCAAAGTCAAGGAATTATGATGTGATTGGAATAACAGAGACTTGGTGGGATAACTCACATGACTGGAGTACTCTCATGGATGGGTATAAACTGTTCAGGAAGGACAGGGAGGCCAGAAAAGGTGGGGGAGTTGCACTGTATGTAAGGGAGCAGTATGACTGCTCAGAGCTCCGGTATGAAACTGCAGAAAAACCTGAGAGTCTCTGGGTTAAGTTTAGAAGCGTGAGCAACAAGGGTGATGTTGTGGTGGGAGTCTGCTATAGACCACCAGACCAGGGGGATGAGGTGGATGAGGCTTTCTTCCGGCAACTCGCAGAAGCTACTAGATCGCACGTCCTGGTTCTCATGGGCGACTTCAATCATCCTGATATCTGCTGGAAGAGCAATACAGTGGTGCACAGACAATCCAGGAAGTTTTTGGAAAATGTAGGGGACAATTTCCTGGTGCAAGTGCTGGAGGAACCAACTAGGGGGGAGCTCTTCTTGACCTGCCGCTCACAAACTGGGAAGAATTAGTAGGGGAAGCAAAAGTGGATGGGAACCTGGGAGGCAGTGACCATGAGATGGTCGAGTTCAGGATCCTGACACAAGGAAGAAAGGAAAGCATCAGAATACAGACCCTGGACTTCAGAAAAGAAGACTTTGACTCCCTCCAGGAACTGATGGGCAGGATCCCCTGGGAGAATAACATAAGAGGGAAAGGAGTCCAGGAGAGCTGGCTGTATTTTAAAGAATCCTTATTGTGGTTACAGGGACAAACCATCCCGATGTGTAGAAAGAATAGTAAATATGGCAGGCGACCAGCTTGGCTTAACAGTGAAATCCTTGCTGATCTTAAACACAAAAAAGAGGCTTACAAGAAGTGGAAGATTGGACAAATGAGCAGGGATGAGTATAAAAATATTGCTCGGGCATGTAGGAGTGAAATCAGGAAGGCAAAATCACACCTGGAGTTGCAGCTAGCAAGAGATGTTAAGAGTAACAAGAAGAGTTTCTTCAGGTATGTTGGCAACAAGAAGAAAGCCAAAGAAAGTGTGGGCCCCTTACTGAATGAGGGAGGCAACCTAGTGACAGAGGATGTGGAAAAAGCTAATGTAGTCAATGCTTTTTTTGCCTCTGTCTTCACGAACAAGGTCAGCTCCCAGACTACTGCACTGGGCAGCACAGCATGGGGAGGAGATGGCCAGCCCTCTGTGAAGAAAGAAGTGGTTCGGTACTATTTAGAAAATCTGGACGTGCACAAGTCCATGGGGCTGGATGCGTTGCATCCGAGAGTGCTAAAGGAATTGGCGGCTGTGATTGCAGAGCCATTGGCCATTATCTTTGAAAACTCATGGTGATCG